CAGTCTGCAAAGGCTCACAGTCTCCCAGTTGATCCTGACTCATGGCGGCCCTGTGGATATGCTGCATCCACACTGTAGAACGAATATGGTTTAATAATAATAATAATAATAATAATAATAATAATATTTATTTATATACCGCCTTAGTTTGACCCCACTTGAACTGCCATGGCTCCATGCTATGGAGTTCTGGGAACTGTACTGCACGTAGTTGGTTGTGGCACCAGAGATTTCTGCCCGAGAAGGCTAAATGTCTCACAAAACTACAGACCCCAGAATTCCATAGCATGGAGCCTTGGCAGTTAAAGTGGTGTCAATCTGGATTATTCCTGCATGGCAGACACAGCCTCAGAGTCCTAGACTGATACTCAAACCACTACACAACCAACTACAATTCCCAGAATTCCACAGCACGGAGCCATGGCAGTTCAGGTAGACTCAAACTGGATTATTTCTGCAGTGTGGATGCAGCCCAAAATTTTCTGCACTGCACTGCTCTGCTTAGGTCCTGTACGTTTATACCCATGACGTCCTTAATAGAGTCCATCCATCTAGTATGCAGTCTTCCTTGCTTTCTACTTCCTTCCACTTTCTTAGCATTGCTGTGTTTTTCTAGTGATGTGGCCAAAATACTACAGCTTCAACTTAATCATCTTGGCTTCCAGGAGATTTCAGGCTTGGTTTGTTTTAGGACCCATTTGCTTGTATTTTTGGCTGTTCATGGTCATCCTCAGCACTCTTTTCCAGCACCACATTTCAAATAAATTGGTTTTCTTCTTGGATCTTCCCAGCGCTTAAGAAATTCCAGGATTCAGCAGTGAAGTGGGAAAAGGGAGTATCTGAGCAGTTACAGAGTGCCCTTTCTTCCATCTGTCCCAGCAGATTAGGGGATGAGTATCCATGCAAAGCCTGGAGAAGTTACTTTTTGGAGGACTACAACTCCTAGAAACTCCCCAACTGCTTGCTGGCTAGGAGATTCAGCCAGTTGTTGTCCAACAATGGACGTTATCACACGGGGGCAAATCTGCTGGTTAATCCACACAAAACCCAAACAGAAACTGGATTAGTGCCCCGTGTTTTCACACGACGTCGCACAGAAACTGGACAGAAAGTGGACAGAAACTGGTGTTAACCGCGATCTTTTGAAATTCGGTTGTTTGGAGGAAATGCAAATGCGCAATTAAGGTAATTTCGCATTTACTGTAATGTGAAAAGCAAATGCGCATTTGGGAGCATTTCCCTGCTGTTCCCCATTTTTCCAGAGAGCATTCCTCTATCTGCGCATGTGCAAGAAGCTAATTTCTAGTACAT